TAACGCAGGGCATTCTGACTTTTGTCATTTCCCAAAGCTTATGGGTGGAGCGCAGTTCCCTAAGGTCGCAAGTCCCGCCTACGTAAGTGCCGTTGATGAATATCTGAGGTATCTTCTTGGTCTTGGTGATCCCGTGCAGTTCGTTTAGCACTCTATCCGCCATCGCCGAGGAGACCATGTCCAGCTCGTAGGCGTAATAACTGACACCGGCCATTCTCAGGATGTTTTTAGCCTCGTAGCAAAGCGAGCAATCGAGTTTGGAAAAAATAAGGATCTTATACGTGTCGATAAGATCTTGGGCGTAGTTCGCGTCGTCTTTTCGCCCTTCGAACAAGAGGACTGCGTCTTCGCTAGGTCCGCAGCAGTGTAGGCAGCCCATTTCATCTTCTTATTAAGCAGTATTTATGTTATTACATTCTTAAAAAAAACTCCACTATTCAATCTATCCTCCATTTTTATAAATTTTAAACATACATTTTTAAAATGAAAACGACAAATAAATCGTTGAAATTTAATTTGTGTAAATAATATGTAAAACGTATGTTTAGCTTAATAGTAATACTAAATACGCAGAAATATTCGTTTGTGAAAACGATCATCCTGGTTTGCAAACCAATCACTGAAGTGGCGAAAATCAGAAAAACGCCTTACAGATTAAAGTAGCAAAAATGGGTGAACTAGCTAGCCAAATAGAGTTAGGAACTTTATGAATACCATAATTGCCAACTTGTTTCATTATCTGCGGACGTGGACGTCCAAAAACTTGCAATAGAAGAAGAAGCACAACTTCCAACATTCCACAACAAGAATTAAGCAGCAAGCAGTCAAGAATAGTTTAAACAATGCTTATTTAATCCATGTTGTAGTGGGAGTGCACAATCGGTGTAGAAAAAAGTCTCAAATTTGATTGTCAGATCTAGAACCATTGAAAAACTTTAAATGCCAAGCAGAATTGAGAAAAGATAAGAACAAACAGAATATACTCGCCCATATGCTATTCAATAAAGAAGAAGGAACATCACAACATGCCCTAAATAATTATGAAGTCCAGATACATTGACATTTGTTAGTTCAACAACTGTTTTCAAAGAAAATTACGAAAAGGTTCTCAAAAAAATGGTGAAACTGCTAAAAGTGGTAGTGTTTTTCAACATGTGGACATCATTGTCAAAAATGAGAGATTAATCGTAATAGTAAACCTTAGGATTGTTAACTTCCTCTAATTTCCTCTCTGATGGCTACCTTAGCTAGTAGCTTGGGTGATTAACTTATTTCGATAGGCTAAGAAAGTTGACTTTAATGTGGGTGTGAGGACTTCAGGAAAATGAAGAAGCCCAACTGGGTTATAAAACTGCAGATGCAATCAGCTCTCACACCAATTGTACCAGAACACCAATTAAGTACTCTGGAACATATAACTATAAGTAATTAAAAAGAAACATTAAAAACAACCTACTAAAAACTTATACCTACCAAAATGATAATAAATTGGAAAAAACAAAAGAAACATATGGTAATATTTCCAAAGGAAAAAGCCAAAAGGAGAAAGAAGAACTACCTCTAAAAAATGAAAAAAATCAAAACAACTGGACAAATAGAGCTAGGTATTTGATATACCATAACTTGAAGAAGAACAACTAGCGTATAAGGGGCCTAACTTTGAAGCCCCACATGGCGTTCCACTCCACCTCAAACATCTTTTAAGCCAAACTGCTAACCATAAAAAAATGTGCATAGGAAATAATAAACATCTCAAAGCTGCAACAATAATAATTCTTTCAGGACACCAGGCAGCACTAAAGGTTCTCCAAGCCTAAGTGATCACCTCAAAAATTGCCTGGAGCAGTCTAAATTCCCTGAAAAAAACAAAAACAAGAAAAACAACTGGGATCTTCAAATAGCCTAAACTAAATAATGAGGGAATTACAGGCAAAAAGGCAGCAACCGTACTTGCTAAAAAAGGAGCCTTGAGACAACTCATAGGCCCAAATCTTGTAGCACAAACCCTCAACTGGGTATAAAGTTGCAGGTGGTCAGTACACATGCCCCTCAAACCTAAAAACACTAGAACACATTAAAACTATCTCTAAAAGGAAGGTAATAAAAATTAAAAAACTGGGTAAACAGAGACTTATGCTTGATGATACACTACCAAGGACAATTCCTCTACCTTTCTTGAGAAAAGGTGACTTTAGTGGAGTTGTGAGGATACAAGGTCATGAGCTGGAGGGAATTTGACAGCAGTTCAATTGTCACTTTCACTGATTCTTTTCTGAAAATATTACCGCTTCACTGATAAAAATATACAAAAAATCCTTTGCCAAAATACTTCAGCTAAATCAGGCAGACCAGGAAGATCATAGTTGATCATATTGCATATATCTTTTAGTTATAATTTTGTTGATTGAATCAACAATGATATCCAGGTTGATTGTGATATTTTTGTTGATAATTGTAATTTATTGTCCTTGTTTAAGTATTGTAGTTGTATTTGCATTTGCAATGTTCTGGAATGAGGTCATCTTCAGGTCTGGTACAAGGGATTTTAACTTGTGTCATGGCCCAAAGCTGTTTGTTGGACCGCAGTTGTCTAAGCTCGCAAGTCCCTCCGATGTACTTGCCCTTGATAAATATCTGCGGGAGCATTCTGGTTTTGTTCATTTGGTACAGATCATTTTGCACGGCTTCTGACAGCGTCGATGAGACCAGATCTACATCGAAGGAGAAGAATTTGATGCCGGCGGTTTTCAGAATGCTCTTTGCCTCAGAGGAAAGTGGACATTGGACGTTGGAAAAGACAACAACATCGTATTTGTTGATTAGAGATCTCATGTATTCCGTGTCGTTACCTTGGCCTTCGAACAAGAGGACTATCTCTTCTCTGGGAGTACAGCAATATATACAGCCCATATCATCATCTGATGAAGCAGGATTTGTTGAAATTGAAACTTGAATATAGTTTTCAACACAACTTATCCTTCATTTTCATCCGAACATACATTTTTATGTTTGCTAATAGTGAAAATGACAAACGGGTCAAAATTTGATTTTTGTGAAAATCAATGTAAATAAAATATAAAACATATGTTGAACTTAAAAGTTATATGAAACCAGAGCTTAAGCAACAATATTTATAAAACTTTAGGAAATTTTTATGTTTAATATTTTGTAAACATAATAATCTCCTAATCTAGGCATTATTTAGGCCTTAAGTATTTCACGCTATTTTTTCCCATTGTTTTCTCTTCTTGAATTGTAACAATATTGACAAAATTTTATTATGATCAAATTTTAAAGTATGCTATATTTAAATTACCTGACATATGTTCAAATATTAAGAAAGATCCTGTTGATTTTATATGTTTAGCAATCAGATATTAAAAATAGGTGTTTTTATGGAGTTAATGATTTTCAGTGGAACATGAGAAAACCATTGCTAGATTTTTGAGTTCTGGAAAAATAAAACAACGTGAACTTTTAAGTTCTAAAGAAAGACAAATTTAAATTATTTGATAGATGTAAAAGAACTGTGAAAGAACCAATGGTTTAGCCCATTGCAGAAATCAAATATTAAAAATAGATTTTTTTATAGATTCACTAGTTTCGTGGTCCGCATGACCAATCAACATCTTACAATTAATTAAGGTTTTCAGTTGAGGTAAAAAAAGTCAATGGCACGAGCGGGATTCGAACCCACAATCTTTGGCTTGATACGGCGCTGCTCTACCACTTGAGCTATTGTGACCTCGATCCACTCAGTCACCAACTTCCCATCTCAACCACACATTCGAATCCCGCTCGTGCCATTGACTTTTTTATCTCAACTGAAAACCTTAATTAATTTTTTATAGAGTTAAGCCAAGCTTTGAAAAATCACTTGCCGAGAGTAGCAATGTTTCACTCACCTTAATTCGCTCCTGCAGAATAATGCCCGTCGGTCCACTCCAAGGCCTTAGAATTTTCCTCCGGGAATGTTGAGGAAATGTAATTAACACCTTGGCTGTGAAACATAAACAGTACTTTTCAGTAGATAATTTTCTCGTGTTGCAATACGGTGGAGAAATACTTCGTCAAGAGAGGAAAGACGTTAACTAAGTTTATGACATTCAGAACAACAAGGCGCCTGGCCAGAGAGAAAAACATGTCTGTATCGAACAACTGACGGAAACAAAAGAGACAAGTCTCACACTGTCCGTCAACTAAGCCTCTCATCATTCGGCAGGCCAATCAGAGGTCGGAGTTAAAATAAAAAGAACTGCATTGAATTGTAACAAGACTTTTTAATTAACTAATTTTTAAAAAGAAAATAGAATAAATTACGCTTCGGCGTAAACATACCGCCCACCAAATTTGATAAAATTTAATTGTGAAAAGAAAAATGAACGAAGAGATAATACTACTTGTAGCTTCTTATGTTAAATGAGAGAAAAATGTTACTTGTGATAAAGAACATAATATAAAAGAAAACAATTATTTACAAATTCTAGATGTAGAGTTTTAGTCGAGTTCTGAAAAATCTAAAAGCAAGTTTCAAAGACTGGTTGATTTAAATTAATGGACAGGTGTAAAAGTTCTGTGAAAGATCCAGCAGATTTCATGTGTTTTTCAGTTCTAGAAAAATATTTCTTTTCTAGATCTTTTAAGTTTAAATTATTTGACAGGGAAAAATAAATGAGAAAGATCTTACAGATTTCATGTGTTTTTTAGTTCTGGAAAAATAAAACCCCACGATCTTTTAAGTTGCAAAGATCCTGCAAATTGTATGAGTTTTGAGTTCTAGAAAAAAAAAAGATGCAGAAATAACTGCCAATTAGCGATTATTTTTGATGTGAGACATCGAGTAGATAAATTTGTAGTTAGATTACACCTGATCATCCTGAAAATTAGCCACTGAAGTTGGCAAAAGGTCTGACAGACAAAATCAGAGTGAATAGTAAGACGGATGATCAGACACAAATTGAACTGCTAAATTTACATGTTCAAAATTTTATTTTGCACAGAGAATCAAGACTACTGGCATGCGAAATCTATGGAAGAACTTGAAACCAGTTTAAACATTAAGCGGAATGAAAAACAAGCCAAAAATGTTGTTTTGTTTATTGGAGATGGTATGGGTCCTAATACCATAGTGGCATCTCGTATTTACCATGGTGGTGAATCTAGCCATTTTACTTTTGAGAAATTTCCTCATGTTGGATTGCTTAAGGTATGTATAAACAATCGTTAAGTATTTAGCGCTATATGTTAAATTTTTTTCAGACGTATAATATTAACAAACAAGTCACAGATTCAGCTTCCTCAGCCACAGCTATATTCACCGGTGTTAAAACCAACCAAGAAACTGTCGGTGTCGACAGTACGGTCTCATTAAACGACTGCAAAGCCAGTTTGAAGCAGAATGCAAGACTGCAATCAATTTCGGTTTGGGCCTTAGAGGCAGGCAAGGCGGCGGGCTTTGTCACCAACACGAGAGTCACTCACGCCACCCCAAGTTCCCTTTATGCACATTCAGCAAGCCGTAAATGGGAATGTGAAGATTACAAGCCAGTGCCGTTACCGCCTGAATGCAAAGATATTGCAAGACAGCTTGTCGAAGATTTCCCAGGAAACAAATTAAACGTAATTGAATGATTGAAGTAAAATTTTAGATAAAGGGTTTTCATTTTTGCCTTTAAAGGTCATAATGGGCGGTGGGTATGCTGTGTTGGACCAACAACCAGCATCGGAATTAAATAGTAATATGTGGGAATGTAATCGAAAAGATGGCAGGCTTCTAACACAGAAATGGATCAATGACAAAAAAAGTCAAGGCTTGAAACATGCTTTTGTCAGGAACAACGAGGAGCTCCGCTCACTTGATCTTAAAGTCGTCAATTACCTCATGGGTAAGAACTCAAATCATAGAGTAAATATTCAATTCCATAATTTTATTTTTGAAAATTGCACAGGGATATTTGCAAAGCAACACATGGTACCTGAATATATAAGGGATGATGGTCCAAAGGGGATGCCTTCACTACGTGAAATGACAACATCCGCAATCAAGGTGTTAAACAATAACAAAAATGGATTTGTGCTGATGGTGAGTCTCTATACTAAAACATTTTTAAAGTAATGAGACAAATTTCAATCTTGTTTTAGTTCTGGTTGTCATACTTTTTACCATTCCATTTAATTTTAGGTTGAAGGAGGTCTTATTGATTTGGCTCACCACAATGGTACAGCCAGAGTAGCCTTGGATGAGACTGTCGCCCTCAATGATGCCGTTAACGGCACACTGGCTTTGCTCAAAGAGCTCAATAGTTTGGACGACACACTTGTTATAGTGACAAGCGATCACACCCACTCGTTGGCGATTAATGGATATCCGGCAAGAGGGAATAGTATCTTAGGTAATAAAAAAAATATTTATATTTGTATAAGTGCTATCAACTCAACCTAACATCCACTTTTGTATCTTCAGTAGTACAATTAAAATTTTTAGTTGAGTGCATTTCTTGTTTGTATTTTTAAAACCAGGCATAGCAGATAGCTCAAAAGTTGACGGTGTACCTTACACAACATTAAGTTACACTGTAGTCGGAAATAAAAGTTACCACTATAGCGTAAAAGATGGTAAAGTGGTTAGAGAAAATCCGTTATATGTAAACACCACTTCTTTCTCTTACCATCAACAGGGTTCTATACTCAGTGATGAAAACAAGCACGGTGGAGGAGACGTCAATGTATACGCCACAGGTATTGTTTAAAAATTTTTTTTTAAATTAAAATTTATTATGAATGTTTTATTTTTCAGGTCCAATGGCTCATTTGTTTCATTCCGTCCATGAACAAACCTATGTGGCAAGAGTAATTGCATATGCTGCAAAAATCGGACCGCACTACTCATCTTCGTCTGCAACATTGCCATCACTTGTGACTGTTTTGATTGGCATTGTAATAATAAATTCATTAACTATTACTTAATTTGTGTATAGTTGTCCATTGTGCCTGATATTAATTTTATTCGTTTAATATTTATTGAATTTTAATGTAAAAACGAGTGATTTTTACTTTCAATTTGATAACCATTCATTGACTTCATGTTAATATTAAAAAGAAAAAAATGAAATTGTCTTGAATAAATCTTTACAATGCATTCACACAACTTACCACTGTATCATAATAAATTACATAAAATTTGGTTTTAATAAAGAAACAGGTTTTCAGAATCTTTTTTTTAATATTTAATTTATAAATCTTTTTTCCTGTAACAAAAGTTTATTATGTAGTTTTTTAAATAAATAATAAATATGTATAGATACATAATATTATATAATAAGTTATATTGTATTACAAAGTTACAAATGTTAGGACTGGGGGGTAAGAAAAGACGGACGAGGCAGCTAAGGCCAGGATGTCCTCTAAACTTAACCACCTCAATCTGGCACAATCAGTGCAATAAAACATGATTAAAAGAAAACGGCAGACTCAGTGGGCCAGATTGACAGAAAAGCTCTCCTGAATAGTGTTGGATGACCTGACTCATAGAATAAGGCTCATCTTCACCTGTTTAAAAATATGCCATGTGTCCAGCATGCCGAGAAAGATTGCTCAGTGTGGCCCACCCAATTGAAGGGTGCAATTCTTTGGCTCCATATATGGAGTACATAGCAATGCCAATCGATAGGAGAATTGTGCTTAAACATGTGAGAATCTGGGTCCCTTCTTCCAATTCTAGGAGGAAACAGAGTTTTTTAAATTGTATATAGCAATGATAGTTGTGTGTCCCTAACGTGTGTTAAGAGTGAATGTAATTATTGTCGTGAATGTGCAGTATGAAAGCACCAATGGTGGTGTAAGTTGTCCACCAATGTTTTTCTTCTTTTTACGAGGGTTCGCAACAGCAGAGGTTATGTAAGTCCTCGGGGTGCCGGTGTTTTTGAAAAAAAAAGCCCATTTGTAAGTATGTCGGGTTCGAATACAGGGCCGCTGAATTTGAACCTGGGACCTTTACCTTACAGTGATGAGCGCCGTGTCAATGCCTAATCCGTTGTGACCACCAATGGTAAATGACCACACAAAATAATAGGGTTAGAAAATAACGGGGCAATCACCCAGATGGGAACGACGTGATTTCCCCACCAATCTGGGAAACATAACTCTGCAATAATTAAGCAGTTAGTCGAAGGGTGTCACAGACAGGAGCAACGTGATGTTCCTCACAAACCAGGGAAATCTAGCCCTGCAAAATTTACACAATTGGACAAATAAATAAGAACGTTGAAGGGTGTTGCAAGTCCCAGATGGGAGCCACAACTTAGTATTTTCTTCTTAATTAGTCTTATCCCCAATTATTTTATAATATATAATCATATTACTATTTTGATTATATAGAATGAATTATTTTACCAATTTTTATTGTTTTTTTAACAAGTTAAAATAAGCAGTCTCATGGTAAGGGGACATTACTTGTAGACTATCTGATGACTTAATAATTTGTACTTCTTTAATACAATAATTTACACCAAATCACTTTCCATTGTTGTTTTACTATAATTATTAAAAAATAATTTACTTATGATAAATTTTTACTTTTTTGAAGAGGATAATCTTAAAATGTAATATTGTACTAATTTCAATTGGGTATAGAAGGATATAAAGACAAGAGCAACATATACATTTAGAACAACATTTTATTATTTTATGTATATAAAATGAATGTTAACAATGTATATAAGTGTAATAAAAGTACAATTAAAAATTATAAATTTGACATTTTCCTTGAGGAGAACCATGTGGTAACATATATTTTGGTTGTTTTACTATTCAATCTTAATTCCTAAAGTTATTAATTTAATTTTTTTGAATTGACTACTCACTATCACAAAGAACAAAACCTAATTGAAATAGGGTTGCTGTATTGCTTTTTTAATAATTGAACATGATTTTTACTCTTAATTTTGCTTTATTTAAAAAAAAAATTAATAAATAAGTATATTTACACAAAAGGGATGGGGGATGGGGCATTAAGTGAAGGGTAAGAGGATTTAGGTGGACAAAATAATAAAAGAACAAGGAGGTAGGGATGACGATAATCTAATCTAGGAGTCCTTCGAGGTCTCTATGACTAGGATGCTCGGATTCCTAGCAGTTTGCCTGGAGGAGGAGCCGTGCGAGGCGCCAAACCCGAGTCCACCCGGCGGCCCCAGTGTTGGGCATTGTGCTCTCTGACCACTGCCATTTGGCCACTGTCATTGGGGCGCCAGTCGATCTTGCTGGGGATGCCCCTGTGGGCTTTTGCGGTGAAGTTGTGGGCGAAGTCATCTGAAACAAAACCGAACAATGATTAAAAACTGACACTGATTAATTGTGCTAAGTGCATCTATTTTCAAAGGTAAAAAATAATCAAGAATAGTTACTAGTGTAAAGATTTACTACAGTTATTTAATGTATCTGAAAGGCTGCTTGAAAGAAGTTTTACAATAATTACTTAATGCTGATTTATATAAGTTCAAATCTGTACACACATGTACAGAGTTGAGACTATCATTTCTTGGAGTTCACAGGCAATTCCAGCTTTTATATTTTACAATAAATTACGAGCAGTTCTCAAGAATCACCAATCCTGTTCGCAGTTTGGGATCAGACCTCACTTTTATTCGTTGAGCTTTCAAGGTTGGGTTTTGGATGTTATCAAGAGCTAGGTTATTTCAACACCCAATGCCACTAATTTCTAAATTCACACTCTCTATCACTCATAAAAACATTCTTTCTTATTCACATACCATTCATTCAATCAGGGTAGTGGAGTACTTGATATCCTCCCTCACCCTTTACATATATTACATAACTAACCTAATTAAAAATGGTGTAAAGCAGGGATGCCCATTATCTCCTCTCCTCTTTGCAAGTTTTTAAAATGATCTCCATACATATATAGGATAGTGTATGGATTGGCAATCTGAATATAAGATGCCTGCGTTCTGCATATGATGTTGCCATTTTTGCAAGTGATATAGTTACATTGCAAAGGATGATAAATAGAATATACGAGTATTGTCAATTGTGGAACTTCTAAGTTAATTTAAACAAATCAAATGTTCTGGTCTTCAAAGGAAGAGGGAAATTGTATCAGTATGAACGATAGAGGTAGGACAGGAAGGAAATCTCAATTGTTTCATCATCTTATAACTAACCTAATTGAGGGCAATGGGGTACTCAATATTCTGCCATTGACCCTCTCTCCCTACACACATTCATGCTAATAAATACATTCACTCTCAACACGTGCTAGGGACATCATGACTATATACAACGACCCTGTTTCCATTAAAAATCAGAAGAGGGGGCCAAGAAGCTGCCATTTTTTTAACAATGGATTCCAGGAACTGGAAGAGTTCCCCCTGAGCACTGCAGCTGTTCAGCTTATTGTACTTTATCCCTGGCTCCATTTTTGGGGGCTCGCAACCCGAGTGTGAATTTGAGTCCCCGGTGTGCCGGTGTTCTTCCATCGAAGAAACTCATGTTTGAAGTGAGTTGGGACCAAATTCAGGGTCACTGAGATCTGATCCCGCCCTCCCATTGATGAATGCCGTGTCAATTTCTTTCAATTGCAGCCACCAGTCCCCTTAGGCGTCAGAAAAAAAGTCCAGAGGCGACAGTGGGGATTGAACCCATGACCGCGGATCTACTAGCCGAGAGTCTGACGCCTTAACCACCGGCTACCGCGGCCCCCACGAAGATGCCATGCTCAAGCGCAATGCTCATATCAGGTGGCATTCCTACATGCTTTCTATATGGAGCCAAGGTATCTCTCCACCCAGGTGAGATACATTGAACAACCTTTCTCCACATTTTGGAAACATTCGCGGGCTCTGGACCCAACGTAAGTGTCTGTGTGTCAACCTAGTATGGCCTATATGCCTAATCACATAGATGACCCTTTTTTTTACGAGTCAGGTCCTCCAACGGCCACCTATTGACAGTGCTGTTGATATGCGAGAGCTTCTCTGCTGATCCAGCCAAATGACTATCATTTTCTTTTAATCATGTTTTTTTATTGCATGTTTAGTGTCAGAGGGCTAGATTTTAGTGATTAAGTCTGGTGGTTGGGATAATAATAAATTGGTTAGGTTCATTGGGGTTTCTAAAGGACTATGAATAAATATGTAGTGTTTTATTAATGTACATGTAAAATAATTATGCTTCATCATGAATTATTAGCAGTAGTAAGATAGTCCTAGATAACTGCTTTTTTTAGTTATAAGCTTTCTTTTCAAGTTACTTGTTTCAACAGGTTTATCACACATCTTGGTCTCCCCGTCTCCATTGATCTGATTTTTCGTTATGTCCTTTAGGTATGGCTTAGTAAAAGCAGAGTTAGAAAGGGTGTCCTTCTTATTTGGACACTTCACAAAAGGAGCAGACCAAAATAGTGAATCAGGCACCGATAACAAGGATTGACCAAACTAGGGGTACGTCTCTCTTTTCAGAAATCTCACAACCTAAAGATTTTTTTTTAAATTTCAACAGATCTGTTTTTCTTAACGAACACAAGCGGCCGTTTACTGCCAGGTCTTACAGAAAGGGCGTAACTCTATACCTATCCAATCTCCTTTCGGAAGAGATAAACTCTCAAGACTTAAGTGGGTCTTATCCCTGTTATTAATTAAGGATAAGATAGGGCCGACTGGGTCGATTTCTCTCGAGGGGTCTCGTTATTGGTCTGGCCCTGGGCCAGAAGTTTTCAGACTTCAACATATCAAAGGACGCCTGATGAAGACACGAAGCACCAGCACGTGTCACGTAAGGCGGTAAATTTAGAATATTTTCTCCAGTCTCAATCGGTTTGTTTTCAAACCAACGGAACAAACAGGGCATGAAGCAAAACTAACGTTGCGAACTTCGTTTTTGAAAAGATCTGGTTAATGCAGTCGGGTTTATTTTTACAACTCCCTCGAATTAAACGCGTGTGTAGATAGAAAAAAGCAAGCTATGTCGGAGCTCGATACATTTTGCTTTTACTCCAAGACCCAAACATTCTCGGTTGTCAATTTTATTTCTTTTTGTATTTATTTTCCAAAAGATGAAAAATCCCAATTTCTCCGTGGTTGAAATATTTTATTTAATTTTGTCTATTACATGGCGTTTCGGGCTTACGGCCCATCATCAGCATCTAAACATGGAAAACCTTATGGTACAATTGCCATCCGAAGATACACACATAAGTAATTTACAATTAAAAAAGAAAAAATATAACTAGTCTATACCATAGATACATAAATATTTCCACCCCATTTTGAGGGGTTGTCGTCAAAATGGTTTTAAAAACTGTAATAAAAACAATAATTTTATTTTAGTCCCCTCATGGGTACAACACATGATGAGATTCTTTTTATATGTATACCCTCTGCCAAAAAAAGATTCTTTTTGTAATATTCCATTTACAATTGTATACAAAATGCAACATGCAAAAAGTATTTATAAAGACTTTGCTTCATTAAAACCATTACGTTTACTTAAGAAATCAAGTATGTAGTTATGATATTTTGCAGTGAATATTAAATGTTCTACCACAACCCCATAATGGATGGACTCATAAATCAATTTTGCACGAAAACACCGTGGTTTAATTTACATCGATGAACACCGGCTAAATTAATTTGTGTTATACGAATGTGCTTTTCCAATTCACACGAAGGCTAAATGTTCTCTTCTATTTGAAAGTCCGAAACCCTGAAACATTCGTTTTCACGAAATTTGAAAAATTACAATTTTTAGTTGGAATTTAATCTATCTTTGATATCCTTTTAGGATTGACGCCACCTGTACATTGCCGTGTAAAACGAAGTTTTTGTTCTAAAATTACCTTTGACAGATCGTAAATATCCGAGGCGTCGGGACTCTTTTGATTTAGGATATCCTTGAAATAGAATCATCTTCTTACTAATATCAGGAATTACGAGAGAAAAAATTTATTTCTAGTCATATTCCCTTCAAAAGGGTGTGTTTATATGAGTTCGGATATTTCTGTATATAATTTATGAAATAAGTAACAAATCTGAGCAAAAAGACGGGAACAATGTGGGGAATTCTAAAGATGGAACAAATTTAAAACAAATACCCGTTTCGTAATCAATAATTGGCCAATGTCAAAAGTATGTAACAAACATATTTCCTACCAGTCGCAAAAATCATACGATAACATTATTTAACAGATTGAAGATCTAGGAAGATGTTCTATAGAAATAAACGGATTTAGTGGTATCCACTCTCGAGTATTTTTCAATTTTCAACTGAAGTATCGAATATTTCAAAATACCTTGTGTTTTACGATTATTCGGAAATCGTCAGATGCGGTCTGGTGTGATGTTTCAGAAAAACATTTTCTTTATCGTGCCAACGTTTCGAACTTTATTGCGATCATCTTCAGGGCCTGGGATTTACAAACATTGTTTAAATTTAACAAATATATGTAGGATGTGGAAAAAAGTGAATCTATACAATGCAACAAATATTTTTTATATTCAATCAAAGTATTTCTACTCACTCAAAGTGTTTCTTTTCTGTGTAATTGTGCCATTCTTGCGTGTCGTGTTGAGAGTGCCAGACATACACGACACACGGAAAACAAACACTTTGAGCCCTGAAGATGATCTCAATAAAGATCAAAACGTTGGCAAGATAAAGAAAATGTTTTTCTGAAACCTACGTCACACCAGACAGCATCTCACGATTTCTGAATAATCATCGACTAACGGTCACTAATCACCACACATATTGTTTTACATTGATTTTCAATAATAGGAAAAGTGGCTACAGACTAATTGGATGAGGTATATACAAAACACGATTTTTGGGGGGTTTAATCAAAGCTAAAATATTTTATACATAGGACGATTTCCAGGTATTACAGGTGGTGTATGGGCGTATCTTGTAAAGAAAAATCGAGAGATTGTATACATAAAGAACAGGTCGCAGTTTGCATGAGCCGCGCATATGAAATTTTAATAAGTATTATTTCCCTTGTATTTGTAGACTTTCTAAACATACATATTATAGATATGATAGGATATAAAGCCCGAAACGCCAATAAACCAAATAATTTATTTGCCATTGTGATGTGTTCTCTTACAAATTTAACTTCCAAACAATGAACTGAGAAGATATTCTATAAATTATACCATGGATAACAGAAAACCTAATTACATACAAGTTGTACTATAGGCTTTATTTAACTCATTAGCTATAGTAGTTGTCTGTGTTGTATTTGGAAAATGTGCCTACTTGTTTATAACTTGTGTTTGTGGATGGATATGTTGTGT